CGAGGGAAGAGTAGAGTAGAATCCGATTGGCTAACACCAAAGCAGCAGCTGCTGCCCTGTGCATTTTAGGAGAACCCATCCTTGCCACTAGCTAAAGGTTCATTCTTGTTCAGAAGCCAGAATGTGCAACGGTCCCCTCCACCCACCCCAGGGGTAACAGTCAACTGGGAAAGTCAGAGACATCTTCCACTAACTCAGTCAGCCCTTGGGTTAAAACCAACTATCACAACAGGCAACTCAGCCCTACAGTGGGGAGTTTCAGGACAGGAAGCTGTCCCAAGGAACAACAGTCTGAAAATGCCTTCAGCACTGGGGACTCTTTAAGTTTCGGTGGAATTTGCTGAAACAAGGACACAGCACGCAGAGGGCTTAGGAGACAGTCTCTGAGCCTGTTTGCCAGGTTTCTTAAGCCAGCAGGTGTCCAGGCAAGCTTGATCCTGAGATGAACCCAAGGTACGCAGACTACCCTAAACACTGTTCCATTTCAACAAGAAAAAGAAAACCACCGACCTGTTCCCCTTTTATCTTTGCAAACAAGCAACCCAAAAAACGTTTAGCTGGGCCCATTGCATCATTCATGAATCTGACAATACCCGTTCTCACAGTCTATGCACGCAACTACAAGTCTGCAGGCCAGTTGTTTACCCCTTCACAGTAGTGGGTGAGGTTGCTCCAGCCAGCCACCCCCTCTGTGGAACGCATTCAGCAGATCCTGATGTTCGTCTGAGTTTCAGGTAAGAAATGAACTTCCCATGCCACACTGTGTCACCCTGAATCTGATAGCCGCAGCACGTTGCAGCCTGGCACACACAGCACGTCAGTGCCCGTTCTGGGCCACAATTTAGAAGACAAAATCAAAGGATATTCCTTTTCCTAGACACAGTTCTGCTGTATAAAAGGCTTCTGTTTTGTAATCTGTTTTCAAGATCTGGTGCTTGTGTTTCTAACACCCCATCACGTGAGCTCTGACGTAGACCTCACCATGACTATGAGCAAATCTACTGCAAGGATGTCTGTGGGATGGCGGAGCCAGCTCCCTGCAGCAAACCGTCCTTTGTCAGAAAATTTCCGCAGGGCCTCACATAGTGGATTCTGCATCCATAGGTCTGCGCTGGCCCGATATGGAATGTGAATTTGACTTTTGCAGGATTCCAGGTCAGTATCCTAATACAGAGTGTTCTTTTTTTAGTTAGGGTTTATTTCTAAGTTTCTTTTTATAGAACACGACTTGCAGTAGAGAGAGGAGAGTTGTTTTGTTGGCTCAACTCTATTATTTATGTTAGGTGCTGAGTGGCCAAGTGCTGCAGGAGAGCTCTTGGTCTTCTTTGTTCAGAAGATTTAGAGAAATGGGGTCCACCCTGGCCCTGGAGAGTGGCCTTGAGCACCCTGGAAAGGTTTGCTTCACTCTCCTCTCTGTCGTGTCCTGGAGATTTACAGATAAGCACACCAGATTTGGGGAGTTGGGGAGATGACTTGGTAGACAAAGTACTTTGTGCAAGCATGAGGACCTGTGTTTTGGATCCCTGACACCCATGGAAAAGCTTGGCACGCTGGCATGTGCCTGTAACTCCAGAGCAGGGGAGGCATAGGCAGAAGGGTTGCTGGAGTTCACTGGCCAGCTCGTCTAGCCCAGTTGGTAACCTTCGGGTTCAGTGAGAAACCCTGTCTCAAAAAACTAGGTGGAGGGTAATAGAGGACGACACCTAACATCAACCTCTGGCCTCCAAATGCACAAGCATGCGCACGCACACACATACACACCAAACAACCAGGTTTTATTAGCGAGCCCTATAAAGAAGTAAATAATAAACTCAGAGAATTTATATGAGAATTTTAACTTTTGAGGGAGGGGTTGAGACAGGGTCTCCCCATAGCCCCAGCTGGCTGGAACTCACTATATATACCAGGTTGGTCTCGATCTCACAGAGATCCGCCTGCCTCTGTCTCCCAATGCTGGGATTAAAGGTGTATGCCACAACACCCAGCTGGGAATTATTTCTGTATATTTCTAAAGAATTGCCTTAACTGATTGGGGGGGGGAGCTTTAATAATGCTGGAAATAGGAGTTGGATTATTGACAAGAATTGTTGCCTTGTTTTCATACTCAGTCCCAGAATGGTGAAATGATGGCCTAAAAGCAGTGTTCTAGATATAATGGGGGACCTGATTTTTATTTTTATTTATGCATATATGTGTGTGCACCTGTGTGTGGGAGGGTATGTGCATGTGAGTGCAGGTGCTTGCAAATGCCAGAGGTGTCAGTACCCCAGGAGCTGGAGCAACAGGCAGCTGTAAGCCACCTGATGTGATTGCTGGGAGCTGAGCTCAGGCCCTCTGGAAGAGCAGTGCATGCTTTTAACCGCTGAGCTATCTCTCAAGCCCCCAAGACCTGATTTTAAATAAATGAATGGAGTCATTTGAACAAGTAGATTATTATGACCCAAATATTTCTTAGGACTTGGAGAACAAGATGCAAACAATAGTAAATTGTGGGAACAGAATAAGATGGCAGCACTACAAATCAAGGAACAATTTTCACCTGAAAATGGTATGATGTAGCTGACTGGTTCACCTGGCCTTTTAACCTTACTCAAACTCAGGAGAGGATAACCACCTCAAGTGTGGGAATAGCGCATCTATGAGCTGTGGGCATGGCCCCATCTCCTGATCCCACTCTGTGAACTGTGGATATTTTTGCCATCCCTTGGCCCCCCTCTATGACCTGTGGACATATCCCTATCCCTTGGCCCCCTCTGTGAACTGTGGGCATATCCCCATCCCTTGGCCTCCTCTGTGAACTGTGGGCATATCCCTATCCCTTGGCCTCCTCTGTGAACTGTGGGCATATCCCCATCCCTTGGCCCCCTCTGTGAACTGTGGGCATATCCCCATCCCTTGGCCCCCTCTGTGAACTGTGGGCATATCCCCATCCCTTGGCCCCCTCTGTGAACTGTGGGCATATCCCCATCCCTTGGCCCCCTCTGTGAACTGTGGGCATATCCCCATCCCTTGGCCCCCTCTGTGAACTGTGGGCATATCCCCATCCCTTGGCCCCCTCTGTGAACTGTGGGCATATCCCCATCCCTTGGCCCCCTCTGTGAACTGTGGGCATATCCCCATCCCTTGGCCCCCTCTGTGAACTGTGGGCATATCCCCATCCCTTGGCCCCCTCTGTGAACTGTGGGCATGTCCCCATCCTTTGGTTTCCCCCTCTGTTACCAAGAGATTTCTGTTTTGTCTTTTACCTTACTTTCATTCACTGTATACTTAGACCTCATGTGAGAGACTTACGTGTGATTTTCTTTTTATTGATTAAAATAAAATAATTTCCAGGAGGCAGAAATTATTTCAAATTACTGTGACCATTGTCTTACTGATTAGCACAGTAGTTCCAAACATTTTGGTCCCAGGATCTACTTATATTGTTATCATTGGAGATTCAAAGAAGTTTTCTTCACCTGAGGTCTGTTAATCAATATTTGCTATGTTCAAAACTTTAAATGAGCAGGGAATTTTACTTTAATCCTAGCACTCAGGAGTCAGAGTCAGGCAGATTTCTGTAAGATTGAGGCCAGCCTGGTCTACATATTGAGTTATAGTCCAGTTGGGGCTACAGGGAGACCCTGGCTCAAAAAAAAGAAACAAACAAACAATAACAAAAACTTTAAATGAGTATTTAAAATCACTCAGTGTACTCATGCCAAATGGCTATAGTCAACCTAATTATATGATTTATTGGGGGTGGAGAGACAGCTCAGTGGTTAAGAGCATTGGCTGCTCTTAGAGTGTTTGGTTCCCAGTACCCACGTGGTGGCTAAGAACCATCCATAACTCTATTATATGCACATGGTACACTTCCACATTGGCAAAAATTCATATACATAGAACAAAAATGAATAAATAAAAAAAGTTAAGATTTCTTTAAAAACATTTTATTTAAAATTACTATTGTCTCAAACAAACAAAAACCCAGCGAGGACGTGTATTGTTTTATATTTTAGCAAATATCTTTAAGTTTTGCTTATTAGAAAGCTTGAATTTCCCATCTCTTACTACATTCAGTTGTAATACAGCATGTTGCATCAGTTGAGGTATATAAAGAATATCCAACTTCATACATGAAGTTGGAAAAGAGAGGTTGTGTTGTTATTGTTATAAAAGGCTTTCTAGTTCATTGTGGATATTCTTTGACATTACACCCAAACTTGACAAGTGAGTTTCTAACAGTTGGTTGCAGCGTGGAATCTGAAACCACACCAAGGAACTGCTCATACTTTGTTGCCTTTAAATCTACTAGTTCCTTTTGCACCTTTTAGCCCATGCATGATTTTTTTTAAAATAATGTTTTTGTTATTGAAAAATATTGGTCCCCTGGGGTGGGTCAGTCTTCCAGATTAGTTACACAATATTAAAAAACCATATTCATTCACACCACCATGAGCCTCCTAAGAAAAATCACTCTGTATTGGGAAACATGACTTCTAAAATTTAAGTTTCATTTGAAAACCAAATCTTATTACTGGTAGCAAAATAACTATGTCTATGAAATGATAGGCCATCTTATTCCATTTTTAAGAAAACGTTTGACAAAAATAAACTTCTCAAAACCCTAGTTTGTCTATTGGTGATCCTTTCAAGGAAAATGGTATTCTGTGGGGAAAAAGCAGCTAGTTAAGCCTACAGCTCAACTGCCTGATTGCTTTTCTAGGTGACAGGTATACCTCTGTTTTATCACACAGACTATTTAAACACACATGCATACATACACACACACACACACACACACACACATATGCACAGTCTCAAGGTCAAGAGTTAATAAGCTGTATCACTGTCCCTTTTCAGTTGGATATCCCTGGTACAGTAGCTGCTAAGCTGCCAGCAGTTTTACCTCTCATTGCTTTTGCACCATTACTATCCACCTCAACATACTACACCAGGTGTGGTGGCACACGCCTTTAGTTCCAGCACTGGGGAGGCAGAGGCAGGCGGATCTCGGTGAGTTCAAGGCCAGCCTGGTCTACACAGTAAGTTCAGGCCAGCTGGGGCTACAAGGAGACCCTGTTTCAAAAGACAAAGAAAAAAAAAAAAGGAAAAAGAACTTCCAGGTTAAAGGGCATGAAAATAGAAATGACAAGAATTATTTTTTATTTTCCTCATAATTTTGCTCCCTGTAGAGTAGAATTGGTCTTGTTCTGGTCTGATTTTTAAGGCTCTAAGTCAGGAAGTTCTATTTGTCTGCACAATGTGTATTTTAAGCCATTGCTTACATTGCTGTCCTCTCATCATCAGCATCATCAGCATACACTGTGCCTGTAGGTACAGATGGGCAAGGTTGTCCCTGCACTCTGGGCTCATCAGGAAAGATAAATGTGGGACAAAAACATTACCACATGCTCTGAGAAAAGGAAACCATGACAAGGGAGAACACGTGCTGAGTTGACCTGTACACGTGGGGAGTGGGTGGTCAGGATGGAGAGGAGACTGCCTCTTATCTTCATGCCCATCTGTACCATTGAAATCTCTTACCACGAATGAACACAGATTTGTTTTCTTTTTTAAAAGATTGGCAATTCTGGAGCTGCAGATATAGTTCAGTCAGTAAAGTGCTTGCTGTACAAGTATATAGACCTAAGTTTGATCCTCATCACCCATATAGGAAAGCTAGGCATGGCATTACATGCTTGTAATCCCAGCACGGAAGAGGCAAAGACAGGTGATTTCCTCGGGCATGATGACCAGCCAGCTTAGCCTAAAACAGTGATCTCTAGGTCTCAATAAGAGACCCTGTCTCAAAAACAAAGGTAAATGGCTCCTGAGGAACACCACCTGAGGCTCATCTCTGGTGTCCACATAGACACACACATACACACACATACACACCTATACAAACATGAACACACACAAGCCAGGTAATTCTGAAAACAAGTATAGGAAAAGATCTTATATTTGTTTTATTTCTTGGAGACAAGATCTCACCATGTAACCCAGGCTGGCCTTGAACTTGGGAGGGCTGAGGCAGGAAGTTCCTAAGTGCTGGAATTGCAAGTGTGTATCAGCACATGTGGCCTTTCAAAGTCATGTTGATCATCAAAAGTGTCTGATTTAGGAGCCCATACTGTATTATGTGTATGTGTTGATCATGTTAAGCTGGAGTATGGCAGGACCCAAAAGCATTCAAAAGACTCCAAATGTGCTGATTGACTAGAATTTCCCTCTGGCATCTGCATACTGACATAAAGTATATTTTATGCTAACACACACATAAGTTATAATTTTAATAAAACTACTTTTATTAAAATTTAATAAAATCATAAGTTATAATTTTTATTTTGAATTTTATGGAGCTATATATTTTGTTTACATCTTTGTTTATATATGTAAGTATAGGGAGACCATTCATGTTGACTCCCAGGAATCTAGTCCCAGGGTATGCTGTTTATCTGGCATAGTTATTAGTTATACCTCCTTTCTCTCTCTAGTGTCCTGTTTTGGGTGCTGAATTATACATTCACCCTATTTATATATCAAAATAAATGCTTATAAATAGAAGTGTATCATATGTTCATATTTATTTGGCATATATTCATGCATGCATGTTATCTGCATACATATATGTATTTGTGTTTTTAAAAGGGTTTTGGTTTTTGTTTTGTTTTGTTTTGTTTTGTTTTGTTGGTCTTTTTGAGACAGGGTCTCCCTGTAGCCCCAGCTGGCCTGGAACTTATTATGTAAACCATGCTGGCCTCAACTTACAGAGATCTGCCTGCCTTTGCCTCCTGAGTGCTGGGATTAAAGGCCTGCGCCACCACACCTGGCTACATTTAGAACATTTTATTAGCCTTCTCATGTTTATCATTTCTATCTCAGCAACACTGCTAAGAATAGTAAACTTGCTGCACAGAACTTTTTTAGAAAGCATTTTAGAAACTATGTCAATTAAATCTCCTCCTCTTCCCAACTGACACTTGTTCTGAGAACTACTGTGGGCTTTCTCCTGTAGGAGCTCCTGAGACTGCTTTAATTTATTTTCTAGAAAGAAATGTGGAGGAGCATTGTAAAGTGCTTAGATTTTCGATGTCAAAGAATATAGATTTGGGTGAGAATGCCACCTTCCCTCTAGCAGTTAGTTCTAAATCTTGGCTTTCATTTGAATCTGCTGTGTGTTATATCCACTGAGATCTTCCTTCCTGACTTAGTTTCTTTTCCTATTGCTATGACAAATATTCTGACAAAACAACTTAAGGAGCTGGTGAGATGGCTCAGTAGGTAAAGGCGCTTGCCAGGCAAATCCAGTGACCTGAGTTCAGTCTCTGGAACCTGTGTAAAGGTGGAAGAAGAGAACCAACTCCACAAAGTTGTCCTCTGACCTCCACATGCATACTGTGGCACATATGCCCTCCCCACACGCATCGTGCATACACACAATAATTTTTATTTTAAAAAGGTAACTTAAGGGGAACAGTATTCATTCCATCCAAAGTTTCAGTCCATCATAGCGGAAGTCAAGGTGTCGGGAGCCTGAAGCAACTGGTCACATAGCATCCACAATCAGGAACCAGAGAAAGATGGATGCATGCTGTTGCTTAGCTCCCTTTCTCCACTTACACAGTCCAAAGTCCCAAACTTGGGAATGGTGCCACCCACAAAGGGCAGGTCTCCCCAATTCAATATAATCGAGGTAACCCCCACCCCATATATGCCAAGAGGCCAGTCTCTCAGGTGATTCTAGAGTCTGTCAGTTAACATAAAAACCATCATACTTACCATTCTATCAGTGACTAGAACTGACGTGATGAAGGGACCAGGGAGGCAGTTATTGGCCACAGACACTCAGGCAGCAGTGTGTGAGTGCAGGGGGCACAACCACGTGGTACCAGACCTTCTTTCCAAGCAGGTAGCAACTCATGTACTGCCCAGTCTTTCTTACTTTCCAAAAAGAAGCATGTCGACTATTTATTTACGTGTGTGTGTGTGTGTGCGTGTGTGTGTGTGTGTGTGTGTGTGTGTGTATATGTATGCACGCATGGGTGTGTACAGAGAAGCTAAACAGGATAAGAATATGAGCCAGTGGAGAAAGTAGATCCTCCAAGAGCCCAGACCAGATCACAAGGAAGACAAAAGAAGTATCTGGAAAGACTGCTACTGGTCTTTGGCCAATGAAGAACAAACACCGAGTCTTTGCAGAGCAGCTTTTCTCCTTCAGGGGCATGGAAGAAACCATAAAGTTCCATTTTATTGAATTCCATTTTTATTTGTAGAAAGAATCCCTCACAATTCTAGAAAAGACTCATGGAAGATTAAAGACCGGACAAACAAGAGTAGAACAAATGTTAATAAAGAAATGAAAGCATGGTCGCACCAGAAATCCTAGCTAAGATTGGCTATAACGAGTGATAAAATTCTAAGTGCCTTTGTCCCAAGAACTAAAAGAGTGTTATTCCTTTATCTGAATTGAAGGGTACATTAGTAGAAAGGTGCTCTTTTCCTATGGCTAAACGTGCTGCAAGGATTTAGCTTGTATAAAGGAAGCTAAATGCATAATGGAACCCAGTTTATAATAGCAGCTTTACAAGAAGGTAAAGAGACGTTCTTTGTGTGGCCATCTGGTCTTTCCAGCTAAATAGATGCCATGAGCTAAATGCTGTGCTCCAGAGCCAGCAAGACATTGCCACTGGCAGTAAAGAAATATCACCAAGCTGTGTGGTTTTCTGGAAACAATGTGTACCAGATAGCACAGAGGACATCATTAGTATGTCCTGTAGAAAGAGGGTTTCATCTCACAAAAAGCTGGAAAGATGATGTATTGGCAGTTAGTGGAAATAGTGAGTTACTGTTTGCATTTTTAAAAATTATTATTTTTTTTATGTGTATGAGCGTATTGCCTGCATGTATATGAGTGCACCTATGTCGTGCAATGCCGCAGAGGTCAGAAGGCTTCAGATTCCTCTGGAACTGGAGTTAAGGATGGTTCATAGCCGCCATGTGGGTGCTGGGAATCGAACCCGGGTCCTCTGCAAGAGCAGTCAGTGCTCTTAACTGCTGAGCCATCTCTCCAGCCCTGTTTGCATTTTTTAAGTAGACGGTACTAGAACAGAATAGACTTTATGTAGTCAGGTAAGTATTAATTCCATTTGTGTCGTGGGTCACTGTGTACTGTGTATTTCTTACTATGGACAAGTGTAAAAGCCACTGCTTTGGTCACCCCTCTCTAGGGTGTCAGTAGGCTCTGCCATCCTGGGTTCTCAGTAAGACATGTAGAGAATGACAAGAGCCCCCCTCCTCCCATAACACGTAAGAATGTGATGGTCAGTGTTGATTATCAGCTTAATGGGGTTGAGAGGTCCCCAGGAGATTAGTAAAACCTACCTGTGGATGTGTCACTAAGGAAGACCCACCCTCAATGTGGGCAACACCACAGAGGCTGGGGGCTTGAATGGAGTATAAGGGAAAAAGAAGAAAACTAGTTAGCCCAAGTGTTCCCTCCCTTCCCCTCTCCTCCTTTCTGTCCCTTCCCTCCCATCTCCCTTTCCCCCTCCTCCTGCCACCGTGATGTGAGTTGTTCTGCTCTGCCACTCTCTTCAAGAGTGACTTAAACCTTTGAACATACAAGCCATTGCTCCCTTGCTCCTCTCAGATAGTTTTCACTGCAATAAAAGAGGCTGACTCTAAAAGAGAGTAACACCTCAGACCAGAACAAGGGCCACCTAGGGGCTCGGTGCATCGTGAGGAGACCCTTCATGTTTGGAAAACAGAAACTTGCCCTCCCCACATTCAGATGTTTATATATAGCTACAACTTTGTGGAGAAAGAGTCCTGGGAGGATTTCCAACTACAACTATGAGCAGTGGTAGGAGAAACGGTCTGGGCAAGAAAGTTTAACTTCTGATGTTGACTTCCACGCCTTGGGAAGAGCAACAGAAAGATTAAAGCCTGAATTTTCACATACAAAAAATAGTTTTTCTCAGAAGTTGCAAATAGTCCAGAATTTTTTTTTAAATTACTTATGGAATGGCACTCTGACTCTTTGTCTGTCTTGTTTCAGATGACAGTCATGTCCCTTTCCAGGGACCTCAAGGACGACTTTCACAGTGACACAGTGCTCTCCATCTTAAATGAGCAGCGCATTCGGGGCATTTTATGTGATGTCACTATCATTGTAGAAGACACCAAATTTAAAGCTCACAGCAATGTCCTGGCTGCTTCGAGCCTTTATTTCAAAAATATCTTTTGGAGCCATACCATCTGTATCTCCAGTCATGTCCTGCAGCTGGATGATCTCAAAGCCGAAGTGTTTACAGAGATACTTAATTATATCTACAGCTCCACTGTGGTGGTCAAGAGGCAAGAAACGGTCACTGATCTTGCAGCTGCGGGAAAGAAGCTGGGAATATCATTCTTGGAAGACCTTAGTGACCGCAACTTCTCAAATTCCCCAGGTCCCTACGTATTCTGCATTACTGAAAAGGGCGTGGTCAAAGAAGAAAAAAATGAAAGAAGGCACGAAGAGCCAGCCATTACCAGTGGGCCACGGATCACAAATGCATTTTCCATCATTGAGACAGAAAATAGTAATAACATGTTTTCTCCACTGGACCTGAGGGCAAGCTTCAAAAAAGTGTCAGATTCCATGAAAACAGCCAACCTTTGCCTGGAGAGGACCAACGTGTGCCACGAGGCGGAGCCTGTTCGCACGCTGGCGGAGCACTCGTATGCCGTTTCTTCCATCACCGAGACCTACAGGAGTCAGCCTGTGCAGGAACAGGAGAGCAGTTCACCTGGGAAAACAGGCAAAGAAAAAGGTGAAGCCCTTGCCACAAAAGCAAAAGCCTGCCGAAAGCCAAAGACACTCTCCACACCCCAGGATTCGAATTCAGCCACAGAAAATACTCCTCTCCCTCCAGCATCTAGCCCAGAGGCTAATCAAGAAAAAGAAAGAAGTCCCCAGCCAGCAGCAATTCTGTCTCACTCAAAGTCTCCCAGCAACGAAGGCGTCGATTTTCCCAGGGAAGATGAAAACCAACCTTCTGATGCCCCGGGCCAGCCAGCAGCAGAGGTGCCACCTCTTGTCTATAATTGCAGCTGTTGTTCCAAATCCTTTGACAGTAGCACTCTGCTCAGTGCCCACATGCAGCTCCACAAGCCAACCCAGGAGCCTTTCGTGTGCAAGCTTTGCAACAAACAGTTCACCACCCTGAACAGACTGGATAGGCACGAACAAATCTGTGTGAGGTCAAGCCACATGCCTATGCCAGGAGGAAACCCACCCTTTTTAGAAAACTATCCCACTATTGGACAAAATGGAAGCTCATTCACAAGTCCGGACTCTTTGTTGTCTGAAAATAGGATTGGCGAATTTTCCAGTACTGGAGATAGCTTGCCAGACACAGACCACATGGTGAAGTATGTCAATGGGCAGATGCTCTACAGTTGCGTTGTGTGCAAACGCAGTTATGTGACTTTATCCAGCCTCCGAAGACATGCAAATGTTCACTCATGGAGAAGAACATATCCTTGCCATTACTGCAACAAAGTGTTTGCGCTGGCTGAGTACAGGACAAGACATGAGATTTGGCACACTGGAGAAAGGCGCTATCAGTGCATTTTCTGCCTTGAAACCTTTATGACCTACTACATACTAAAAAACCATCAGAAGTCTTTCCATGCCATAGACCACAGACTTTCCATCAGTAAGAAAACAGCAAACGGAGGTTTAAAGCCTACAGTCTATCCATATAAGCTATATAGGCTCTTGCCTATGAGATGTAAGAGAGCACCTTATAAAAGCTACCGAAATTCCTCATATGAAAATGCTCGCGAGAACAGTCAAATGAATGAGTCTGCGTCTGGTACCTATGTTGTTCAGAATCCGCAGAGCTCTGAATTACCCACACTGAATTTCCAAGATGGTGGAAATGCCTTGACCACCAGTCCTGCCATCCCAATGGAAACATCTGCATGTCAGGAGGCACCCACTTCTGCCAAGGCACACAGTGCAGAAGGTACCAAATGGAAAAAGGAGGCACTGAAAACTGATCTTGGTAGTAACTTTTACCCAACTGAGATGTCGGTCTCCTCCTCTGCAAATGCTGTCAGCTCCAACCTACAGACAGGGGATGCCCCAGTTTCATCTCTGAGCAATGGCAGTGAGAACTTGGCCTCTGTGATCAGCTACAGTGGCTCAGCACCCTCAGTCATTGTGCACAGCAGCCAGTTTTCATCAGTGATCATGCACAGTAATGCCATTGCTTCTCTGACCAAGAGCAACCACAAAGCCCCTTCAGACTCACCCATCAGTCAGTCCCTGAAAGATGACAGCAAGCCTGAGGTGGATAAAGTGGGTAAGCTTGCCGGCAGACCCAAAAGCTTGAAGGAGAAAAGGAAAGCTCTTCCATGTAACAGGGAAGAAATACTAGAGGAGTCAAAACCTATTACTGAGCCTGGAGGGTCTCTGAACAAAACCACAAATCTTGTTGAAGAAACTAGTAAAATTGAAACATACATTGCAAAACCTGCTCTGCCTGGAACCTCCACAAATAGCAATGTTGCACCTCTTTGCCAAATAACAGTGAAAATTGGGAATGAAGCTATCGTGAAAAGGCATATCCTTGGGTCTAAACTGTTTTACAAAAGAGGGAGAAGACCCAAATATCAAATGCAGGAGGAAACATTGCCTCAGGAGAGTGACCCAGAAACCCATGGAGACAGCCCACTAGGGCTTTGCCAGTCTGAGTGTGTCGACATGAGCGAACCATTTGACGATGCAAGTGACCAGGATTCCACTGACAAGCCATGGCGCCCTTACTACAACTACAAGCCCAAGAAGAAATCCAAACAGTTGAGAAAAATGAGGAAAGTCCATTGGAGGAAAGAGCGTGGAAGCAGAAGCCCAAGCAGTAGGTGCAAATACCCAGCCAAACTGGATTGCGCTGAAGGAAAGCCACCTCCAGATAAGGCCTTCGAGGAAGAAGAAAATAAAGAGATGCCCAAGCTGCAGTGTGAACTCTGTGATGGTGACAGAGCATCAGGGGCTGGAAACCAAGGCAAACCTCACCAACATCTCACTTCCAAGCCTCACATCTGCGAACTCTGTGCTAAGCAATTCCAGAGCCCTTCCACACTCAAAATGCACATGAGGTGTCACACTGGGGAGAAGCCGTACCAATGCAAGACCTGTGGGCGGTGCTTCTCAGTGCAAGGCAACTTACAGAAACATGAACGCATCCACCTGGGGGTGAAGGAGTTCATCTGTCAGTATTGCAACAAGGCGTTCACGTTGAACGAGACTCTCAAAATCCATGAAAGAATCCACACTGGTGAAAAGCGTTACCACTGTCAGTACTGCCTTCAGGGATTTTTGTATCTTTCCACAAAAAGGAATCACGAGCGGAGGCATGTCCAGGAACATGATGGGAAAGGCTTTGCTTGCTTCCAGTGTCCCAAAATATGCAAAACGGCTGCCGCCCTCAGAATGCACCAAAAGAAACACTTATTCAAAAGCTCAAGTAGGTCAGAGAAAACAGATGATATGTGCCAGGAGAACTCAGACCCGTTGGAGAGTCAGCACACGGATTCAGAAGACAGTGACCAGAAGGACAGCACGCAACCATTGTTGAAAATGGCCTTTGAGTGACAACAGTTAGAAAACTCTTCAAAAAGTTAAGTTTGTGATGATTTTTTTAAGTTTAGTTTTGTTCACACACTAGTCATGAAGGAGTGAAAAAAAATTTGTTTCATTTGTGAAAAATCCAGAAAAAGGATCCTAATGCGTACTTTGGATTTTATTATTCACTTCACACAAAGTGCACAAAAACAAAATAGCTGACTCCGCTAACATCCCAAGTATTTTGTGAAAGTTAATGTTCTTCACTGTGGTATTTCTACCAGTGAAAAAGCAGCTGGGTTTTAGCCTACTTTAAAACATCCTGGTAAACGCGCATGAGAAATAACTGCTGAGTCATCTTTAGTCACTGGAGAATGTAAGAGTCCAATGTATGAAGATGGCATCTTTGACGTGTTAAATGATAAACGAGCTATGACAGTATTTATTCCCATCTGGCCTCTGCACTATTAAATCTTTGTTTAAGTAAATGGCTATCCACGAAATACTTAATAAAATACTGAAAATATGTATGTAATTCGTAACCTAAAGTAGGACATTTATAACATTATGTAGAACTACTTTTCTGCAGCATAAGCCTTGTAAAATACATATATAAGTCACTATACCTTTTACCTGTCCATATACCTTGTAGAGAATTATAATGAGCAATAGATCTGCAAATAATGAGAGCTGGTTAAAAATCAAATAGAAAGCATTTTGAATATGACTTACGAGCATGTTTATGCTTCTAGATTTGGAATGCTATGCTGTTCTCTTAAAGTATGGCTGAGCTGTTATTAGAACTGGTCTACTCAAGTCACAGAAAGCATAGATCATGCCTTATCTTTGGGGAAAGACTTCCCAGAACTTACCTGAGATTACCTATGCTGAATAATCCTTTGCAGTGGCCTCACCTCAGAGAATGAAGAAGGGTCAAATTCTTCTGAAACTCTCTGCAGTCTTCCAGTCATCCCAAGGCCATGGATGTCGGAGGCTATTCCACACAGATGTAAGGGGTCAAATAATCCTGAGGTCTCCCATTCCTCTGAAGGAGTGTTCAGGAGATTGAGTGCAAGACACAGCTCTGTGGTAGTGAAATCTTAGGCACTTGAAAATGACAGAAAGTCTAATTCCTCTGTCGTACACCTCTTTGGAGATTATGCAGCCCACAGGTACATACTAGTTTTGAATAAAAGGACAACAGAAGCCCCCACACTTATTAATGACATAGTGGGCAAGAGGAAGTGATGACCTTCCTTGCCTCCAATAACAGCTTTGTTCTTTAGGGGTTGGAAGATAGAATGTGGAGTAATGAGGTTCTGTCCCTTACTCACACGACTCAGAAACACATCCATAAAGTCAGATGCTTCGTCTTCATGTTTGCAGACACCTAGCTCCCTTGCTAAAACTCCATATAAATTTTTAATCTTTTTATACTGAAAAAATACTGTCAAGATTGCCCTTAAAAAATCTAATTGCCCTATAGGATCTTCTTTCACATAAACTAGGTTCTTGGAAAGCTGGAATTGATGATTCTTAGTTTTAAAACTGCCAGAATAGGAAGGAGGGAGAACACCTTCCTACCCTTTGGTCAGCAGTATGAACAAAATTTAGAACTCAGTTCGAGTGGCCTTTGGCCGTTCATGCTCGTTGGATTTGGTAGATGGAAACCCAAGGTTGGAAGGTTATCCTTATGAAGACGTAGCTCAAAAGACTCCAGTTTCTTGCAACATGTGTTGTGATGTCTCTGTGAAGAAGACTTAGTGTGGATTTGGGCGGGCAAGAAAAACACCCAGAAAAGGACATGATCAAGTTGACCTTTTTATACTGTAGTACTTTGCTGTTAAATAACCCCAATATTGTATCTGCATTTATCTTTTGTTCATTGACTTTCACCTACATACAGTATTATATAGTAGAGAAAAATGGGAAAATGCAAGTGAATTCAAGTATATTTTATATGTTGTATATAGGTACACCCGGACCACTCATTCGGGTTGTGTTAAGGAGATAGTCACAAAGGGCTTATGAAAATCACTTTTAAATTAATAATTAGAGTAGTGAATAAGCAATCCTGTGATCCACTCATTTGTTTTATCTCAGTTATGATTATAATGCAATCAGTTATGTATTTTAGTTATTTTGATTTTTAACTACAAATATAAAACTAACACATGTAATGATGTCTCCCAGCCCTCATATGTGGATATTTTTTAAGTGGACTTGTATGCTGATAATTCTAGACCAAAGTAAATATGGCAGAATATTTATACATGAAAAATAATTTTGAAAATATTTTCTATAACTGTATTCATTTAAAATGTTAATAGCTTGTGTTAGTTTCAGGGAGGGGTGTATATTTTGATAAAATACTTGACTTTGTAATTCTGTATATTCTATACAATTTATAGCAGAGCCGTTTTAAGACAACTGGTTACATTTTTTTGTTGTTGTTGATTGTGAAAATGTTATGAGTGATGTTTAAAGTATGCATTGAGTACATAATGACCAAGTAGAATTAAAGTAAGTGGAAACAGTGAACATACTGTATGCTGTACAAGATATATTGTAATTTTCTGTTTTACCATCTGTATTTTGGTTAGAAGATATTATTAAATGCAGATGTTAAGGGTTGGAAAAGTCTAATTTTATTTTTAGAAATAATAAAGATAAATTTGTTTTGCTTGATTAAAATAGCTTATTCCTACATTAAGTCTCTTTTGAAATGTCTTGATGTCAATTCTTCTGCAATTATTTCATCTGTATGTGTCTCGCCTTTGTTATACACACACTTTTTCATTATATTTCTGTTTCCTTGTTTACATTTCATGGCCCCTACCTATGTGCTTAGGCTCAGATAGATTGTGACAAATAATAAAAATGGAATAGGAGACATTGAATGCTTCTGGTAAATGAATGTTGGGGGTAGGCCAGATGCTCTAATGATACATCAGAATGAAATGCTCTCTTGGAATTCTCAAAGGAAACAAGTTACATTTATTGAGTCCCAAGCATTTAGCAATGTCTTTCAACCTAGGCCTTCATTATCAACCTCCAGCTCTAAAATGACCCCCATTACCCACATTTTCTAGTGACTTTGAGACAGTCCCACAGCCAGAAAGAGCAGGTCTGCCTGACTCCAAAGTCCATGTGTTTGTACCTTCTCAGCCCCTTCAAGAAAAATGCTTAGAATAACCTGGAGAGTGAGGGGACAGGCCAAGCAAAGCAGTGTAGCTTTGGCTTCTATAGAATGGGCTTCAAGGACGCTGTTAGGCTCAGCTTCACCTTTCCCTAGCTTCTAGGGATTTGCTCTATAAAACCTATTTCCAGAGTGTCTACCTTACCTGTGTTTTGGACTATGGAGTGAAGTTAGAATTTCATGCTGTTATCAGCTAGTAATTTTTTCCACATGAAGAAAAATGTCCCACTGTCACAGACTGTTCCTAACCTTAGCTAATCATCTTGCTGTGAATGCAGTTAGTCACAAAGGAGAATGGGGAAAAGAGTGTCAGGGGCTCAGACAATACAACCCACCAACACAAGGAAAGAAGCAGATTTCCAGACTTACCAGTGGCTATTTATAGCATCAGTCTTCTGTTTGAAGGGCAACCAAACCAGATTCACCGCCAAATTAGTTTCTAGCAAAAACCATTTAAATAGTGAAAGAACTTATAATAATTAAGAAAGTACTTGAATTAATAGCATACAAACAAGTCATACAAGGCAGCAATGATGCATAGTTTTAAGAATTTGTTTTTCAATTATCACCTTGATTGATGGATGTGGGTCCACTTTGTCTCCCGTCATTCCTCTTTGCCAAGACAGTAATGCTTCCACTTCAGTTCTGTCCATATATGAGAACTTTCTACCTGGCCTCTTCCCAAATCCTGGCCATCTGTTCATTTCCTTTCCTTTTGTCCCTCCCTGGTCTGCATCTTGTGACATAGATTCTTCCAGCAAGCTGGTCAGTAAGCAAGTGTGCTGGCAAGCAATAATCTCTCCAATTATAGACAACTGATAGAAAAACTAGTCAAAATGGAAATGCTGTGTTATTTAGTGACAGCAAAGACATCATTTCTATTAAAATGTTTTTCTGGGCTGGGGAGATGGCTCAGTGGGTAAAAACCCCTGCTGTCAAACTTGACAACCTAAGTTTGATTCCCAGGACCCATATAATAGAAGGAGAAAAATGACTCCCACAAGTTGTCCTCTGACTTCCACACATGTGCTACAGCATGTGTACACATGCACACACATACAAATGTAATAAATAATGTTTTTCTGAAAAATTACTTTTTAAATAAAAGTTAAGACACGAGCAATTATAGGGTTAAGAAATTTATACCTAATGCAAGAAACTTTGGTAGACTGGAAATATATCAATTGCATAAAACCGTAAACCTTCATAGAGAACATTTTACTATATGTAAATTATATCTCAGAAAAACTGACTTAACTGGAATTACGGACAGTTGTTAGCCGTCATGTGAGTGCTGCGAACTGAATCTAGGTCCTCTGCAAGAGCAGTCAGTGCTCTTAACAGCTGAGCCATCTCTCCAGCCCCTATATTTTTTTGTGTGTTGAATTTTTTGTGTATTTCATACAGAACATCCCAAACAATCTTAGTCATCTTTATACCCCCATCCCCTAGACTAGAATTTTTTGAGGTACAATAGTGCTAACTTATACAGAATTTTTTCTGGTTTTTTGAAACAGGGTTTCAATGTATAGCCTAACCTGGCCTCAAACTCAAGATCCTCCTGCCTCTACCTCCCAAGTGCTATGATTACAGGTGTGGGCCACCACATGGCCTTAAAATATGCTTAATTTTGAGTGCTGGACATTTTATTGAGATTTGGGACACAAATATAAGAGGCGGTCTGTGGGTTCAAGGTACTTAGCCTCACAAGAGGCTGATGAGGCAACAAGAGGGTTAGGAAATCAAGCCTGAGCTCCCAAGCGCCCAAAACCAGAGCAGAGAGAAGTCCTGAGTGGGGCTTCTGCAGAAGGGTCAGGCCCAGCTTGGCATCATTAGAACAAAGGAGCCATGGATGGATGTAAACCTGGACAGGCAGGCAGGAGACACACAGAAGAGCTCTATGGCACAGCGTTAAACTTATCTCCTGGTGCACGGGGCAGTAGGGGTGCTGGGGAGGGACTGAGTGATAGGGGAGATGATCATAGATGTACAAGGTCCAAACAACTATAACACCTTTGGAGGTCTTGTACAGACAGGGAAAGGGGCTGATGCATTTGAGAGAATCGCTCTTACTCTAGTGTAGTGACGAGACCTCAGGACAGGACAAGGCTGAAGGTGGGAAAGCAGATGGGAGGCTGTGATAGGATGGGTGGGAGGTGGCGGGGGCTTGGGCAGGGGTAGAAATGGAAAATGTAAGAACAGGATGAATAGTAAGAATTGGTCACATTCTGAATGTGTATTTTTAAATCTTTTAATGTGGAAATTTTCAAATGTGCAACTCATATACCCACAATTCTCCACCAGGATTCATGGCCAATTGTGTTTTAGCTGTTCTCTCTCTGTGTGCCCCTCTCTCCTCTCTCCTCTCTCTTCTCTCTTCTCTGCCCTCTCCTCTGTCTCTCTGCTGTATTATTTTTCAACAAAAAGCAAAGCCTAGACATTTGATTTTATCTGTTCTGATGTCACTATGCTCATTCTAAAAAGTTAAGCTTTCCACTGGGCATGATGGTTCAAGCTGTAATCCCAGCACTTGGGAGACTGAGGCAGGAGGAGCAACTGTAATTTCAAGACCAGCCTGTGACATAGTGAGACCTTGTCTTTCTAAAAAACAAACAGAAAAAATAAACATCTTAAATATCATTATATCACACCTTAAAAATTAATAGTTATGGGCTTGGGAGATAACGGTCAGTGAAGTACTTGCCCAAGAATGAAAACTTGAGTTTGGATCCTCAGCACCCATGCGAAAAACTACTCATGCCTGTTATCCCAGTGCTGGGGAGGCAGAGACAAGGGATCCCTGGGGCTCACTGGCCAGCCAGTCCAGACAGAGCAATAAGCTCCCGATTCAGTGAGAGACAATGTCTCAAAAACTAAGGTGAAAAGCCATTAAGAAAGACACTTGACATTGACCTCTAGCCTGCATATGCAACCACATGCACATGTGCATACATGAACACAGATATACATACCACACACAAAAAAATTAATAGTCACTTCATATTAAAATCTATCAGTCAACATTTTTATTATTCCATAATTGTCATGATTTTTTAATAATTTTTCATTTTAATTTTATTTGTATGAGTGTTGGGATTACAAGCATGCACTTCTACATCTGGCTTTATTTGAGTGAGTTCTGAGGATTGAACTCATGTCCTCATGCTCTTAAGCAACAAGCACTTTCTCAGTTAAGCTGTCTCCCTGAGCAAAGAGAAGGTATTTTAAACATTTTTGTATTATTAAAAAAAAAAAAAAAAAAAAGGGGGAAGAGAAAAAAAAATCTTTGTGGTTTTAAAATGAGCCTGGTTACATTAGCAAAACATTATCTACACAGGG